TAAGCCAATATAGAATTACTCAAATTCCAAAACATAAGGTCCTAGAAGAAGAATGCACATGTAGACATAAGGGCATCTCCAATGGTAATAGCTATTACTAGCTATATAGTCAGCTGACATGGATGTGAGAGATAAGAAAAATAACTATTTTACACTATTGGACCCACATACTCCTCTCACATAATATTGGGCTACGTGAAATAGATAAGCTATTTGCTAGTGACTACTCTCTCTCTTACTTTTCCCCTGTCCACGTCATAATAGCTAGCCAAATAGCTAACTATTGGAGACACCCTAATATTATAATGCAAATAACCAATACCTATGAAATTACTCATTCAGAGAACAATTATTAACTATGCTATGTTCCAGAAACCCAAAAAAAAAAAAAANNNNAAAAAAAAAAAAAAAAGACACAGCAGTGCAATTGTTGAATCAGTTGAGAAACAAAGGGAGTGAAAAAAGAAAAAAACATTTAATTCAACAAACTTTGACATATACTTTGTTCACTCAATTCAATTACATATCTAAAAAAAAAAAAGAACATTTAACAATAACTATTCTGAAAAAATTCAACGTAGGCCTAGAATTGAGAAGTAGGGCAACTTACGGCAGAGGTCTCTGTCTCGGCGGTGCCGGTGGCAGAGGCGGAAGGAAAGACAAGCGTGATAGAGGCGGGGACTGTAACTTCACGCCGGACTGAAGTGTGGGCTGAAACTTCACTGACGGACGGAAGCGAGGGTTGGAACCGAACATGTTCACGGCGCGCGGAGGCGGGGTTGAAAAGACGGAGGCGGCGGTTGAAAATTCAAGGTGGACGGAAGTAGGGTTTGGACCTTCGCGGTAGACTGAAGCTTTGTTCACGGTGCGCAGAGGCGGGGCTGGAACGACGGAAGCGGCGACTGGAACTTCACGGCGGACGCAAGCGTCGGGGTCTGTAACTTCACGGCAGATGGAAATTTTTCTTACGGCGCGCAAAGGTAGAGACTGAGCGGGAAGTGAATAGTCTGATTAGTAAAAGAAATTATGTTTACCCTAGTATTACATTGCGTAATTTTGATTTGTGATATATTTGATTTATTGAGTTTTTATATGTGGTGAATGTTTAACTACATATATATAATTTATATTTAATATGTGGTGAAAAATGACTATGTTAATTTTGATGGACATTGAGTTTCTGTATGGAATTACTAGAACCACATATACATAACAATCATTTTATTACAAAAATGCCACCGTCCTACTTTCTACATCGGGTATGTAGCACCCGATATAAAAAGTGACCCCTAGAATGTGTTTTTTGTACTAGTGAATTTATAAAACGTATTGTCAAAATACGTTTTGCACTGAATTATTTATAAATCGTATTTTGAAGATACGTTTTAAACTGGGAAAAAAAAAGAAACTTGGTGATGATCGCACAACTCGAACGCACCTGTTTTAAATATCAAAACAACCAACTAAACCAAAATTACATGAACAAATCAACCGATCTACCTTAAATATCATCAAACCAAGTCTAAATAAATCATACACACAAATTCAAATAAATAATCCA